TATTCTATATAAATATCATATGAATATTATATATAAATATTATATAAATATTATATATAAGTATTCTATATAAATATCATATGAATATTATATATAAATATTATATAAATATTATATTATTATATATTGCTATATAAAATCGCCGTTCGCTACAATTTCGTCCGACTGTTTTGCAACGTGCGCAGGGTAACGCGAGCAAAACGATAAACTATCGTTCGTACAAATCGAAGCTGAAAAGGCTGTCATTGACGGACGAGGACCGCGAGCTGGAACGTCAGCGATACTCATCGGAGGAGATCGCGTGGACCGGCGATCGATTCGAGAAGATTACTTGCGGGAATCCCGATCCCCGGACCGAGAAGATTCGGCTGGATCTGCCGCTGATTAATTACACGAGCAGCGCGACGCCGTACAAGTTCCTTACCAGCGATGACTGTCACAAAAGGTGTATAGCGACCGCGCCGCGGAAGGAAGTCTGCTCGAACAAGGACATGGAGCTCGAATTCAACGTCAGACTGACCTTTTGGCTTTACTTCGTCATCAGAGTATTTATCGGCGAGTATACCACCCTCTTGCCCCCCACCCACACCCCACCCATCCCTACACCCTCGCTACGCGAGTAGACCGGTAGGCGACCGTAAACGAAGAAGAAGCAAAAATAAAAAGAAATGTGTGTCTTTTTCTCGCGAAGAACGATTTAGCGATTGCGTTAACGAAAAAGTAACGATTTGTGTTCGCGCGAATGGACATTTTTCCGCGTCGCTTATTAGACGCGATTATTATGCGCGATTCAAGAATAAAGGAAAAGATATTAGCCACGGATTATCTTTGCAATCTTAAAAGAGCAGAGTTTACGTGGATTTTTCTTTTTGCGCTCATAAAATCGCGGCGTAGATTTTTCTGTGTGATCTAAAGTGGTTAAATTATAGCATTTTATTATATTATTATATTTGATTATTATTTTATTTTATTTTTATATCATTACGTTATATTTTTATTATATTATTATCGTTATTATCATTGTCGTTGTTATAATAATTAGTATTATTGCATTTTACTATTATCACTGTATTATTATTATTATCACAGTCATTGTTATAATAATAATAATGATTATATTTTACTATTATTACTGTATTATTATCATTAATATCACAGTCGTATAACTCAGTATATTTTATTATTATTACTGCAATATTATTATTATTATCACAGTCATTTAAATAATAATAATAATCATTAAATTTTACTATTATTACTGTATTATTATCATTAATATCACAGTCGTATAACTCAGTATATTTTATTATTATTACTGCAATATTATTATTATTATCACAGTCATTTAAATAATAATAATAATCATTAAATTTTACTATTATTACTGTATTATTATCATTAATATCACAGTCGTATAACTCAGTATATTTTATTATTATTACTGCAATATTATTATTATTATCACAGTCATTTAAATAATAATAATAATCATTAAATTTTACTATTATTACTGTATTATTATCATTAATATCACAGTCGTATAACTCAGTATATTTTATTATTATTACTGCAATATTATTATTATTATCACAGTCATTTAAATAATAATAATAATCATTAAATTTTACTATTATTACTGTATTATTATCATTAATATCACAGTCGTATAACTCAGTATATTTTATTATTATTACTGCAATATTATTATTATTATCACAGTCATTTAAATAATAATAATAATCATTAAATTTTACTATTATTACTGTATTATTATCATTAATATCACAGTCGTATAACTCAGTATATTTTATTATTATTACTGCAATATTATTATTATTATCACAGTCATTTAAATAATAATAATAATCATTAAATTTTACTATTATTACTGTATTATTATCATTAATATCACAGTCGTATAACTCAGTATATTTTATTATTATTACTGCAATATTATTATTATTATCACAGTCATTTAAATAATAATAATAATCATTAAATTTTACTATTATTACTGTATTATTATCATTAATATCACAGTCGTATAACTCAGTATATTTTATTATTATTACTGCAATATTATTATTATTATCACAGTCATTTAAATAATAATAATAATCATTAAATTTTACTATTATTACTGTATTATTATCATTAATATCACAGTCGTATAACTCAGTATATTTTATTATTATTACTGCAATATTATTATTATTATCACAGTCATTTAAATAATAATAATAATCATTAAATTTTACTATTATTACTGTATTATTATCATTAATATCACAGTCGTATAACTCAGTATATTTTATTATTATTACTGCAATATTATTATTATTATCACAGTCATTTAAATAATAATAATAATCATTAAATTTTACTATTATTACTGTATTATTATCATTAATATCACAGTCGTATAACTCAGTATATTTTATTATTATTACTGCAATATTATTATTATTATCACAGTCATTTAAATAATAATAATAATCATTAAATTTTACTATTATTACTGTATTATTATCATTAATATCACAGTCGTATAACTCAGTATATTTTATTATTATTACTGCAATATTATTATTATTATCACAGTCATTTAAATAATAATAATAATCATTAAATTTTACTATTATTACTGTATTATTATCATTAATATCACAGTCGTATAACTCAGTATATTTTATTATTATTACTGCAATATTATTATTATTATCACAGTCATTTAAATAATAATAATAATCATTAAATTTTACTATTATTACTGTATTATTATCATTATTATCACAGTCATTGTTATAATAATAATAATTATTATATTTTACTATGATTACTGTATTATTATCATTATTATCACAGTCATTGTTATAATAATAATAATTATTATATCTTATTATTATTACTATATTATTATCATAATTATCACAGTCATATAAGTCAGTATATATTTCTATTATTATTACTCTATTATTATCATCATCATCATCATCATCATTGTCATTATTAGAATCATTACAATAATTACTATCATGTATTATTATTATTATTATTATTATTTCATGCGCAGGTGTAATCGGCGGAACGACGTTCGCGATGTTCGAGGGCGCAGTGATCGCCATACTGCGGGAACAGAAAGCCGATTATGGTCTCCAAAGGATCTACGGGAGTATCGGTGGCATGATTTCCTCGCCGCTATCCGGCCTCTTGATCGATTACGCGAGCCGCGACAAGAGTTACACGGACTTCCGGTACAATTCGCGATAACGCAACCGAGAGACCCCGTTGTTTTGGTACGGTTTTGGATCGTTGCTTATTTGTTAATCGTGATCTTTCAGGCCCGCGTTTTATTTGTACGCGGCGTTGAAGCTGATGTCGGGCGTGCTGATGCTCGCCATCAATTTAGAATTCAAATCGCCGTCGACGGACGTGATTCGCGACGTTTTCACAGTGCTGAGGAACATCGAGGCCGCCGCCCTATTCATCGCGTGCTTCATCCTCGGTAAGCTGGCTTTTTCCATTTCGGGTGGTTTTTTTCTTTTTCTTTTTTACGGGAAAATTACGGAACTCGTTGACTCGCCGTTTTTCGTTAATAAACACGTGAACGAAGCCGCGGTTTGAATTTTCGCTGAGGAAGAAGTTACTACGAGTGACCTCGGGACTCCCTCGTTTCACGGAAGTATTACAATTTTTTTTAAAAGTATTATAATTTCTGTGAGTGTGGGTATTACCGCGGACGTCCCAAATACTGCAATATATAAAGCACTCGCAATTTATGCGCCTCATTCCGCGAAAAATCATCGCGGGAGGATGACCTTCGGCTCAAATTAAAGCTCGAAACCTCTGCTTTAAGATACTCTTTCTGGATTTAAGGTTCGATGCACCCACGTTATTGTGAACCTTTAAATGCGAGGCCATGTTTTTCGTATTAAAAGTTGCCAACTTCGACCGACGATAACTCCGCGAGAAATCTTCGCAGGATGATCATCTTTATCTCAAATTAAAGCTTGAACCCTGTACTTTAAAACGGTTTTACCGGATTTCAAGTTCGATGCACTCTCGTCGTTGTAACCCCTCTAAATGCGAGCTCATTTTCGTCACATTAAAAATTGTCAATTCTGGGACAATGCACGGACTTCGACAAAATGCATGGACTTTGACAAATTTTTTTCGGGGATGCCGTTCACAGTAGAATGAAGTTCGATCCTTCCTCTATAATTCCCAAAAAAAGAAAATCGCCTGCGATTTTTTTTCGCAAAGTTACAGCACTTCGAAGCGACCCATGCACATTCGTCGATGACTCCGCCAAAAGTCATCGTAGGGTGACGATGCAAGGGTTGCTTCAAAGTGCTGTAACTCTGCGTAAAAAAATCACAGCCGTGATTCTTTTTTTCCAAATTGAAGCGAAAGGAACGAACTTTATTCTCCCGCGAACGATATCCTAGGAAAAAATTTTCCATAGCTCGTGCATTTCGACGAACTTGGCAATTTTCGATGCGACAAACATGGCCTCGCGTTTGAATAGTTACAGCGTCGAGGGTGCGTCGAACTTAAAATCGGGAAAGGATGTTTGAAAGTAGAGGTTTCGAGCTGTAATTTAAGAACAAATTCGTCGTCCTACGATGATTTTTCGCGGAGTTGTTGCCGGTCAAAGTTGGCCTATTATAAAAACTGTGAACGATCGTTAGTCCTTTTTAAACCCGTCTAGAATCACCGTTATTATTTAGCATTATTTTAACAAATTTTTTCTCTCGTGAATACCGTTTGCAGGAAAATAAAGCTCGATCCTTCCGCTTTAATTTAAAAAGAAGAGAAACGCGGCTGCGATTTTTCTTTCCAAACGGCAAACATGGCGAACACGGCCTCGCATTTGAGTGGTTACAGCGGTGAGGATGCGTCAAATATTAAAATCCAGAAATTCTGTTTTAAAGTAGAGGTTTCGAGCTGTAATTTAAGAGAAGAGTCATCGTCCCACGACGATTTTTCGCGGAGTTATCGTCGGACAAAGTTGCATCGTTTTTAGCCATAATTCTTTTCAGCGTCGTATCGCTCGCTTTTTTATCGATTTATTCCGATCTCCCACTTAACCGGTTCAGTTCAAAAGTCGTCGAGTCTTCGTTAATTGACATGTGGTCAATTTGACGTAGCACTGAAAGAGGAAAGCAAATATTCGAGTTAAAGAATAATAGGCGTAGCTCGAGTTGTCAATTTATTAGCGTGAAAAGTCTCATTTTCTCGGCCAAAGTTCGCCTTCATCGAGAAAACGCGGCAATACCTGCACTTGCTTCATAATAAATCTTCAATTACATTATATGATAAACGATCGAAAGGCAAAGCCGTCGGTGGCACTTCGCTAGGCAAGTTGCATAGAACAGAGCGACAGCGACGGTCGCCGATCTCGAACGGCGACGGCGAACGCGACGCGAGACGCGTCTCGGTCTCGCGAGTTGCCACGGTTTTCCTAAATTCTGCGCGACGCGACGCGATGAGATTGCGAAAATGAACGTTGAAATAAAGTTACGCAACCCCTCGTTATTGCCCGTTTCCGCCAATCTTCGGCGTGCTGGCCGAATAACGAAATTACAGCGACATTGACATTCCGCATCGATGCCGGCAACGATCCACGCGCGCTTATTAAACAACTCTCGGTTTTTTCTTCGGCGCCGATCAAACCGACTTTTTCTTCCGATTCGACTCGACACGACGTGACTCGGTTCGATCCGATTCGATTTGTGCAACCGCATCCTTACCTTCCGCGAACGCTTTCGAACGGAACGAGATGTACATTCGTCCTCCCCGAGACTCGCGTCGGCGCTCGCGCGAACAGTTGCGAGTCGCGGAGACTGCGCTTCTCGTTGCTACGTGTCAAATTGTCTTGTAATTGTACTCCTGTTGAATTACGAATTACAATGTGACTTTTAATTGAACGGAGATTTGAATTGCGAATTATACGTTGTAATTGAATTGAATGGAAATCTCAATTACGAATTATGCATTGTAATTGAATTGAATGGAAATCTGAATTACAAATTATACGTTGTGATTGAATTGAATGGAAATTTGAATTACGAATTATACGTTCTAATTTAATTGAATGGAAATCTGAATTACGAATTATACATTGTAATTTAATTGAATAGAATTTTAAATAAACAAATTATACATTATAATTCAATTGAATGGAAATCTGAATTACAAATTATACGTTGTAATTTAATTTAATTTAATTGAACGGAGACCTGAATTACGTATTACAATGTAATTTAATTAAACG